TTATGTTGCATAAAATACGAAAATAGTTTTATGGGAAAATTGTAAATACTTATGTACCTATAAAAATATCAAGCTCTTATTTTGAAGATGAAATACTTTCAAAAGGTACAACAACCTTAAGAGCTGAGTCCCATCTGAACCTCGGCATACTCGAGTTTCATCAAGAGTCCGATAGACCCGATGGATAGGGGCCACTTTCACCATCCTTATTGATAAGGAACTAATTGAAACAGCCCTGCAACAGAAGAGATCCTTCTAACCAAACAGCCATTTGCATTAGGAGGGAAAAAGATTTATGATCATTTATATATACACCCTAGTTACTGGTTACACCAAGATTAATCTGTATTAGGTTTTACGAAAAAATAAACATTGCTTATCTTGATGAAGAGCACTTTCAAAATGGGTCAAACACTTTCGCAGAGTGCGCCTCGAAAAAGCATCAAAAATAGCAAATATACAAATGGTCTGGCGTGTAAACCCATTTTGAAAGTGGCCAAAAAAAAAAACGATGGTAAATATTTTGCCACTATCCAGAATCCAATTCCATTAGCAGCGAGAGCTAATACAGCTCTAAATGCAGCAACTATCTTTAAGCGAATCGAATAAAGCCAAATAAAAGGCATGCCCATTCGCTGTGGCCTTGAGGCCCCTCCATTTAAGTGAATGCGAGCCCCCAGCGCTCGCATAACTAAGCAGCACTGATGCTGGAACCCCCCACCCCCACCCCCACCCCCAACCCGACCCAACCCCAGGTCACCCTTTTCCACCCCTACTTAACATCCGCTTGCAGCACCTGCAGTCTTCTGTCTGCCGTCTGCAGCACTTTGCTGCCTACTTTGGGGCGCCACTCAATTATTTATGTGCCCCTGCAGTGTGGCGCTCATATGAGGCGGGCGAACTTTTTTGCACCTCCCCTCTATACCCGGCCAAACCCCCGGCCAAGCCCCCCGGCCACCACTAACATGGAATGTCTTTAATGTTAATGACTCGAGTGCAGCGGCAGAACTTTCGCAAACGCTTAAGGCGGCTTTTGTGGCAAGACGGCAAGACTTTCTCATTGTGTGTATGCGTGTGCGTGTATGTACGAGTGTGCGGGAATCTCAAATCTCTGGTGACAAGTTTCCGCTGCATTCGGCGGAGCAGAAGAGAGGGAGAGGGAGAGGCAGAGGGACATAACTTTTTATTATAATATGCAGGCTCTCATTAAAAACGCATTAAGTATGCATTGTAAATCATGATTGTGCCATAAGTAGCACTCCGTAGCACTCAGCCTCCGTATCCACACACTCGTGGCCGCCTCCCAGCGGTGCATCGGCGACAGTGGCGTCTCACCCGATAAGTGACAAGATACGAGATATTATGCGTATACTTATTATGCGAGTGTCAGAGTATGCAGCTGTTGAGCTATCATTGCCATCGACCCGAGGACAAGCCACAGATGAATCTCCCCGAATCCCTTACAGCATGGGAATCGCCATGGGAATGGGAGAATCACTTTTATTTAAAGAAGCTTCTTCACAAGCCTTCAGAAACGATTTTTGCACCATTTTCCCTTTATCTATTTAACATGTTAATATCCCAGCCCCAGCCTGAGAGTGTGACAGACCTTTTTGTGGGCCATTAGAAAGAGAAAAGCTCTCTCTATCTCTCTTGCTCTCTTCGAATGAGGTAGCTGTAATAAATATTTTATGAAGGCCAGACAGCAACAGCCACAGCCCCAGCCCCAGCCACAGGGACAGGGACAGGCTTCTCTACAGGTAGCCGTACCGTCATAAAAAGGTAGGACTTTGTAGAAAAGATTGCGCTGATGTGCTGAAAATTTCTTCCTTCCGTCTTGTCAACAAAACAGCCACACAATTGGCTGGCAAATGGCTAAGCGTAAGCGTCTGGCAGCGACCCAATAGAGGGCTAAGATTGTCCCTGTGTCCTGTCCCTTTTGCCCCCCTTTGTCCCCATCATGCGCCACTTCCTTATGTGTGTGGGTGCCCTAGGGGTCTCTTGGCATTTCTTTATTCATTAGCATTTCGTCTGGCGGAATGGAAGCGAGTGGCGAGCGGAGGCTAGTGAGGGAAATCCAAACATTAATATTAAATTTGGGTTGGCTTTCGGTCTGCTTTTCGGATGCCTTTCGGACTAATTTGCTGGAGCACAAAATGCTTAACAAATTTAATCAGTAAACCGGCAAATTAGTTTCTCTATGCCAAACAAACGAATCTATATACTAAAGACCATTTCCGTTTGTTGCTGTTGTTGTTGTTGTTGTCGTTGTTGGAAGGCCAATTTACAATGCAATCTAGTTGTTGTTCCCGGGGCTTAGGGATTTTATTTAAACATATTTTGGGCTTTCAATGAAATTTATGGGCCTTGCAAAATGCAAAATCTGCGCTAAAACGTTTTTAATTGCTTCTCGTGGAGAATAAATCGATGCTAAATTGATTCAATTTCAACTAATTTACCCTCATTATGTTTTGCAAATTCTTTTGTAGAATTTTAACACCTATTTCCGATTTTAAATATTTATCATCTATTTTTTGAAGTCTAAAACCCATAATATATCCCCTGGAACATACATATATGTGGAGCTCGAGCAAGCGGTTGAAATTTAATAGAAACCACAAAAACACAGCAACGACACCCCGGTGACTCCTAAAAAAATTACCTATCACCGCTTAGAGGCGGCACAAAAAACAGGAAACCCATTTACCATAACGCTGGGGCAATAAAAATAACAAGCCGCATCAAATTTTCAAGTAACGTTCAGCCAGGGGGAAATACAAACAAATATAATTGCCGAAAGGAAGAGGCATTGGCCTTTTTTTTTTTGTACGGGTTCACACATTTCTGGGGGGACACTGGGGGGTCACGTCACACACAAGTTGTCGCCTGGGAAATTTTCCAATGGTACGTAAAACCAATATAACATTGATCTTGGAAACTCTTGGAAATTGATACAAACTAAATTAAGGAATGCTTTGATAGAATACGAATTCATGTTGCTGCTCTTCTGCTGTGATTTCTGAGAGAGGTTTGAAAATCGTTTACTCTTCCCCCCAAGAACAATGCCAATTACTCCGAGTTATCACAAGCTCTCTCCTTTCCTGTCTTATCGAAGGCAAAACCAATCGATTAGATGGTCCTAAACGCATTCCATTGTTGGGTTGACTTACACAGATCTATGATAAGGTGATGTCAAAGTGTTTTCAATAAAAACTAAGCACCAAAGTGTGATCCGAGCAAGTCGGAACGGGCCAAAACGTACACTTAAAACAAAAATTTCAAGGTAAAAGAAAAAAATCAGAAAAATTATTTTAGGTAATAAATAAAATTTATAAATATTATATATTACATTTGTAGGAAAAATATTTAATCATAATTGAATTAATTTTTAAATCCAAATTGAGCCTTTTTGCTTTGTGTGTGGAAATTCAAAATTAATAAAGCTAAAAAACTACAAACTTAATTAATGAGTGACGCGTTAATGTCAAATGGAAGCACTTTCGTACGCGTATGAGGTTGACACAAGACCCAGCTATAAGAAATAGTAAGAAATACATATCCGTCCAGTCAAGAGGCTCTGACAAATGATGTGGGACTATGCTCTCGCCTGCTCCTGCTCCTTTCCCCCTCCATACCCCCTCAAGTCCTGCCTGGGGTTGGGCCTGGCAATGCAATCAATTTTCTCGAAAATTTTTGTCATTTGTTAAATTGGAAATTGCTAGCTGCAGGTCATCCACTCAGTGGGAGAGAGAGGGGCAGAGTGCAGAGTGGGAGAGCGAGAGAGAGAGAGCTGAGAAATTCTTTTGGACATTTCGAGAATTCTCTTTGTCCTAGGCCTACCGACCAACAGATGGCCATGTCCTTTGCACATTTTGTTGATTGGTCGCCTTCAGGGCCTCCGGAGCTGTGCAAAACTTTTGTTGATTTTTAATTGCGTCGATTTTTCGTCTTGCACTCAAATGAAATAATTTATAGCCCAGACGAAACGACCACACAATAAGTCCCCTAGCCTCTTTCGAGATCATTTCAATAGCGGATACAATAGATAAATAAAATACAAAATACAATCCTTTATGTCTGGTCTGGCGCCAAAATAGAGCCAGAGTTAACGTTTAGCTGCGGCGTTAAACCTCCGAATCCTTCGAATCCTTCGAATCCGAGGCGGCAGCTCAAGAGCTTTATAGTAATTGCCATGTCATTATTATGGCTAATTTTGGAGAGAAAGCAGACACACTCTTTCTCCGTGTGTAGCTCTGGTTCGCCGGCTCTCTGGAAATGGTTTTTAATTCTTTTTATTACCCTCTGAGGCAGACACTGGAAAATTTCGACAGTCTGCGACAGCCGGGCCATCGTGGCGTATGTGTAATATAATTGTGTACGAGTATATGTCGCAGACAGAGTAAAGGACAATTGCTTTATCGTCCTGCACGCACTCACACATGCTCACGTTTTATTGAAGTGTTTAACTCATGACCAGACATTAAGAACGTCTCTCTCTCTCTCTCTCGCTCTCTCTCTCGCTCTCTTTCTGGTTTATCTCCTGCTGGGCAATCAAAGCGTTGTCCTTTTACGGTGTCTCTCCAGCTTCCTTTGATGGCAACTGCAGTGGAAGGCAGGCAGCACTTGGCCGCATCTTGGCGCATCATCAACGCCAAGTTAATGCCATTGCAGCACCCTCTCTCTCACTCACTCTCTCTCTATCTTTCCTTTTCTCTGCAGCAGCAGCGAGATCTTTCGGGTCTCTGTGTGTGTTGTGGCATTTATGGTGCACTTCTGGCATCCTTCTGTGGCTGGACGATGCGTCATGGCCTGGCAAGACAATTAATTTAACGCTCAGCGAACACACACACACACGCACACACACCCGGAGAAAAGATGGCCCCGGCAAACCCTGAAGATTAAGATGCCGTAAAATAAAGAGCAGCATTTTTCAGGGTAAAATCTATTATATCAACACAATTTCGAAGATTCTGTGTATGGATATGTGCATGGAGCTATCCTCAGTCATTTCTCTGTCCCTCGTTGACAGTCACGTCCTGCTCGAGCTCGTCGTCCTCTCCATCGGAATCCCGATCGGGTGCCTCCTCGATCTGCTTGGTGTAGTAGTCAGCCTTTTGCTTGGCGAGATCCGCATCCCGGAGCAGACGGGCAGACCTTAGATCATTGGCCAGTGTCGCGTACTTCTCCTGCTCCCGATAGTTTCCTTGCTGCAGGGATTTTGGGGTAAAATGGAATATGTTTTAGCTAATTAGATCAAAGCAGGGCATTAGTTATTAAAGGGGGAAACTCAATTGTGACAAGAGACGGGATCTATAAACGGAAATATTTCGAGAAATTATGGTTAAAATATTATGCTGCAGCGACCTGTAAATACAGTAGAATAATATATAAATTAGCTCTGTAAAACGGATTAGATATTAGTAGTTATAGGTGGGTTTTCGTGTGGTAATGAAGGTCGAAACATATTCTCACGACTGAAGCTAAAAGAAAATTGGGAGGATTGTTAGTTGGAAATCATCTGTCTGCGTCTCAGGCTGCAAATAAAGGTAAAATCAATTAATTTACATATTAAATAAACGCAGATCTTGCCAGGCAGTATATTTTATTGGGAGCTTAAGGGACAGATATGCAGTCAACTCAACTAAGCCCCGCCCTAAAATGACCTCCAATGCTCAGCAGAACCTTTCGCTGTCTTCCGTTTGCTCCTTCTAATCGTGGCTTTTCTCTGTCTCTGTCTCCCCACTCCACCTCCACCTCCACCTCCACCTCCACTCGACTGCTACTCCACCGCCACTCCCCTTCAGTTCAATTCATTTAACTGTGTTAAATTAAATCACAAATCAAAAATCAATTACAGTTATTACGACGACGACTGCGACGATGTCTACGATTTCCAATCTCTAAACGAGCGCCCTCTTCCAGCCCCCCTCCCTTCCACCCTCACGCTGTCTGCAACAACAGCTGCAACCCGTACTGGGGAGGGGGAGGGGGAGGGGGAGGCCGGGCCGGGCCGGGCCGGGTCGGGGTCCCATCCGAGAGCGGAAGTGCCGGGCGACCTCTATCTCTAGCTCTGACTCTGACTCTGACTCTGACAGTGGCTGCTCCTTGGGAGCGGAGCACATTCCTGCAATCTGTTCGGTCTGCCTTTCTGCCATTTGCTAGCTGGTTGCCTGCCTGCCTGCCTGGCTGCCTGCCTGACTGCGACTTCCACCCGGAGCTTCATCAATAATGATGTTATCGGTTACACGGGCACACACACCCAGACAGCTGGAGAGGAGGGCATGAGGATGGGGCCACAGGCAGAGGCAGAGGCAGAGCACACGCTGCATATTTATTTAAAGTTTTATGGGTCCAGGCCGTGTCCGGGCCAGGCCAAGGGGTGCACCATCCAGATGAAGTTTAGTTGTTGCCAGAAGTAGAGGTGGGAATGGGAATGCCAACGGTGGAGGAAGCAATTCCAACTGGTTTTTAATTTCGATTTGATAAAGATTTTAATATTGTTAGCCGGAGATGAAGGAGAAGGAGATGGCAACATCAAATTAATGTAACGGATGTTGATTGCTCGACGAGCTAAAAGTGATTGCCTATTGCAGGGGGAGGGGCCAGCCCCCCAGGCCCGATTGACTTTTTTCCTATGTCAGTGGAAGTGGAACTTTTCAGAAAATAGTTTAAAAAGCGTAGCATTTGAATATTCATCCAAAAAGCCCTCAAATTTTCATATCTAACAAAGCTTTAAAAATTGTTATCAACAGATTTGCTCCGAGAGTGAAAATTGTAAAAAGAAATTAATTGAACTGAAAACCGAATATTTAATTTAAATATGGAACAGTTTCTCTTTTCCTATGCCATCTATGGGTGTTCTGGTCTCTCATGGGAGACTGCCTTTTTCGAATGGTCTATGGAGAAACCTTTCTGGAAACCCCTTTAATTTTCTGAGAGCTGAACCCCACCCTTCTGCTGTTAAGGCATTTGCTTTGTCATTTTGTTGGAAATTAATTCCCATTCATGTACATTGTACAATCTGCCAGACACTGATACTTTTTATTTCGGTGGTTGCAAAATTTCATTAGGGAGCAGCAGCTCCCCCCCCAAGCCGGAAAGCCACCCCCAGTGCTGCCACAACTCCCGGGAACTTCATTTGTCCAACGACATGGGGCAGACAGTAACAACTCTCGAGTGAGTTTTATGAGTTCTGGCTCAAATAGAAATGGCTGCAATAACACTAAAGAACTTCCCGAGTCCCCAACAGATGCTGGGCAATTACCGATTGCCATAGATTGAAAAGTTTCCCAGGGAGGATAACCATTTACTCCTTGGAGTTTGGCTGGTCCTGATTAATTCTGAAAGGAACCCTCAAACTGCATTGTCATTTGCATATCCAGGGCCAAAGGAGAGTAGGAGAGGGAGCGAGCGAGAGGGAGAGGGAGAGCAAGCAAATGGCAATTTATGTTGGGGCTCAGATTTTGTGGTTTTACTTTTCCGCATCATCAAATCGAAGCAGGATCCCTTCCTCAACATGGGAAACATCATGACTGGCGTAATTTACACACCAATGACTTTCGAATCCACTAACACACACACACGCACACACACAGACACACAGACACATATGCAAACGAACACACACACATCTATGCATGTACATTACATATATGGATATGGATAAAGACTTGGGTCTCATCTCAGGCTAATCTTATCGGGCGTGGCACAGCTCATATAGCTTCGCAAAATCGCTTTAATATTGAAATTGCCAATTTCGATATTCATTAAATGTTGCGATGCTGAAAGAGGAACGCCGGAATGGAGCCAAGCGAGAGGAGCGTGAGGAGGGTGGGGTGGTATAGACCTCCCCCCCACCCCCCCCTCGCCACCCCTGTGCAAGAAAGCGTGCTTATCCCGACATCAGTTGTGGGGACCTCAGCCCCAGCCCCAGCCCCAGCCCCAAGTGCGATGGAGCGGTGGGCGGGCAATCAAAATCCATAAACATCAATGTCGCTAAGCAGCAAAGTCAATGCACTGAACGAAATTTTAATACAAATTTTAATCTAAACACACATAATAATTCCCAAAAATTTACCTACACTCAGAGAAAAAGAAACACTCTGATATTTAAATTAAATATTTTAAAAGTTTTAATATTAAACACATTTAATCAAAGTATAAAATATGATATTATACTCCAAATATGAAATATTTTCAAAAAAGTGAATCTTAATTTTAAAATATTTAATATAAATATTTTATTTTATTTTATCTTATATTTATTTACATTAAATTAATGTTAATATGAAATATATAAAATTTAAATATCAAAATGTTAAATTTTAGCATGAAATATATGGATTATTAAATATTTGTGATTAAATCCAATATTCTCATATTAGTATCAAAATGCTAGTAAACGAATATATTTTAACTATTTCCACTCTCGGCAAAATTCTTTTGGTATGTATTTTTAAATTTAAGTGTGTTTTCTATGGGTGTAATCTTTCCGTTTCTTTGAGATACATGCATATGTACTCCATGGAAAGCTTTTCTTTTGGTGCATATTTTTTTCCCCCAGGAATCTATCTCATTTCCGCTTTTCGCCTCAGTCACCAAGCACAAATTTTGTTCTCACGCATTTTATATTTAATTTCTTATCAAGGCATCATCGCAATTGCGGTTCATTATAAAGAGAACAAAAATGTTGTACCCCATGCGACTTGAAGCTTTAAGATCCTGGGGAGCCAGAGGCACACTAGTAGATTCGAGTAGGAGTGGGTGTACGAGTACGAATACGAGTACGAGTATATGTATTCATATATAGATTCATGGCGGTTCGGTTCGTTTATGCCTTGTGTAAATTTCATCAAAATAAATACAATTTATAGCGCAATAAGCCAATTTATGCCTCGTGTTCTACGGCGTTCCCCTTCTCCTCTCTACGCACAATTTACATAAATTTAGCAAGTCAAGTAGGTGGGGGGAGCAAAGGGGAGGGGAGAAGGAAATGTTATATATGTGTAAACAGCGAATAAATAATATTTGATTACCCCCGTAGGGGGGGGGGGGGGGGGGGGGGGGGGGGGGGGGCTGCGAGTGGGGGATCGCCATAATTCAGACCAACTGAATTATTGTTTAACTTTCTGTTTAGAATTCTAATGGACGCTGTTACATTTTTTCCTAGAAGCGCTAAGCGGCCTATTGTTTTGGTAAATGTTTGAAAAACTAATCATTCGATTCGAATACTTATAGAGAACATCCCCCGATTAATCACACTGTATTCCGAGCAATAGAAAAAAGGAAAAAAATCTAGATAAAAACAGTTCAAAGAGCGAGAAAACAAATGAGCGAGAAGAAACGCAATTAAAGCAGCACATGGCACCGAGGACAGACCACAGTAGAGCGAAAAGAGAGAAGAAAAATGTGCCCGGGGACCAAGCGAGAGAGCGAGCAAAGAGGGAGGAGAAGTGTCACACAGTGCGTATGTGGAACATTTTTTAATTGCTGGACATATGTTCAAGTAATTGCTGCAACAGTTTATATGGAAGGGGGGGGGGATAGAGAGTGCTGCAGAAAGAAAAACTCTTTTGTGAAAATGATACAGTTTCTGTGGTTTTCTTTGCACTCATTACTCTCGTTGGTTAAACGCTTTGGTTATTTTTTTTCCCCCTGTTCCACACAGCACTGTGGTACTCGTATTTGTTTTGAACTAGAGAGTGATCGTATGTTTGTCTAACTAAAGACAATGTTGGCACTATTCCATTCATTACTCTTCAATTTGAAAGCATCTTTAAACTTAGTTTCCAATTGCCTATTGTATATATAGTTCATTGTCTCAGCTGGTTCATCTTTTGCCTAAGACTGCAGTTGGCATTTGAACTTAAGCCCAACAGATCCTCTCTGGCGCTCTCCCACCAAAGGCATGTCCCACTCATAATCCTTTCAGAAGCAATTCCTGGACCTTGTACACAGGGCAGGGCAATAAATTTCCGAGGCACGGTGCCTCGGTGCCTCCGACTAGGCTCAACAGCGAGTCTAACAAGCTCTAAGTGAAAAATAGAGAAAAATGACGTACACACAAGATAAACAACACAACCGAGGGACGAGGGAGGAGGGAGGGAGGGACACAGAGTGCGCGCAGAGAACCGAGAGCTACATAAAGTAAAACTGTATTTAATTAACCGACATTGCAATTACAAATTCTGTGCAACGCGGCGGAGAA